ACTAAACGTACACTGAGCTGAGAATTTAACAGATGTTTTTGCTACTATTATAATCTAATCTTTTCCTGCAGGCTGTTGTAGTAATTTTGCCACTAGAAGATAATAAAAAAACATTTTCTCCCCTGCAGAGCTTACCTTTGGCTGACTCAGCTGAGCAGCTGCAGTTTCCTTTACTTGCTTGGAAATTATTGCATCCCAATTGGGCAAGATATTTCTGCTACTGAGAAACAAGTGGCTTCGGAGAAAATGCCAGAGGCAATCAGATAAAGTCTCTTCACCTTGCTCTAGTTGCATTAAAAGCTGGTAATTTGGGCTGCAGCTTTTTCAAGCGGTCCCACAAATGTTTGGTTTTACAGCCAGGAAAAACAAAGCTCCTGAGTTTGCCTATCAAATAACTCTTAAGATTACTGGTGAAACTCTCAGTTTGTATCTCAGTAAGGAATTCAAACAAGTGTGTAAGAGCTTCCAAGACAAACAAAAAAATACCAACAGAAAGTCAGCTCTCAATTGCAACTGTTTAATACCGACTGTGAGCCCAAAGTGTATCTTGGGGTTTCCCTTGTCTTACACAACAGTTGCCTGAACACACCTCCACTTCTGACTGAAGAGGGACAAAGGAAAAAACCTTCAAATCCCAGGTGCTTTGGCCAACCCAATGCTGGTTGATGTGTTGTCCAGGTGAGCATACTGAGAAACAACAAGAAAAATAAACTAAAGTATTACATCTCAGTAATAAAGACTATGATTGAGATAACGTGAGAGCAAATTCAGAATAATTTTAGCATACAGGAGGAAAAAAAGCAGTTTCAGAGTAAGCTAAGACAAACTGGCATATTTAATTCAGTGCTTTATCTATTTATAGTTTACAGATATTTACAGTTGGATCTTGTTTAAAAAGCCCCAGCATTCTGTAGAGAATTAACTTCTAAGCTGGGTAGAACTCCCCAAAGTTAGCAGACTGCTCCCAAGGCAGCCAGGACAGAGAGAGCTGGTGCTCCAGCTCAGCACAAACCAGTTCCCAGGGGTGAGAACCAGTGTGCAAAGGCAGACCATGCTCCTTCCACCAACACACCACTCAGCCCCACAGAAAAGGCAGGAGGAGTGAAAAGACCCCACGCTAAGGCCCTAGTGACAACCTGAATGTGTCCAGCCCAGCAGCCTCCCTCCCCTGGGGGCTGAGATTTCTCCCAGGTTTTCAGGGGTTTGTCAGTGACCTGGTGGCCCTCTCTGTTACCATCCCTCCTACACTGCTAGGCAGCCACATATTGCACTGAACTTAGTCCATGTCCTCATTTATCTGCTCGTCTGACACAAACACAAAGTGTAAAGAAATAAGGTCTTGTGGAAACTCCTATGATTGTCAAGCACTTTAGTTCTAAAGTGCACTATGAGCTTCCCAGCCCACATTATTATTACCAAAGAAAATTAAAAGCTGGAGAAAAAAAATGTTTCTAATACCTTGACAGGTCCATCACTTCCCATTAAAAATAGAAAAGCTATTACAGAAAGTGAACAAGCACCTGAATTATAGATCAGCACAGGCCTGGGCTTGTGTGACTGCACCTGGCAAGGGCCAGAGCTCGGCTCCCCTGCAGCACCTTGAGCAGTGCTGAGGGAACTCCCAGCCTCTCCCAATCCCACCGCCCTCCTGGCATGGCATGCTCGAGGGAGCAGTGGCTGGGAGGGAGGAATGCAAAAGATTTCCCTGCAACGCCAATTTTGGTGTTAATAGCTTGTTCTCTACACAAACATCTGTAACTGCAATCACAAAAGTGGTTAGAAGATGTGATCCAAAGCTTGCGAAGAGGTCTGGTTTCTGTTTCGGACCAGTGCATGTGTAGATCTATTTATATCCCTCTTCTTAACTGTAAAACGCTGGGGATATTTTATCGCTAAAACAATCTTTATACAATGTCATCCATGTGTCATTCTGCTTGGTGGAATATACCGTGATTAGGGGATGATGATGAAACTTGAAACTTAGAGCAGCGAGCAAACGAAATACACTGAGTTATGTTTGTGGGGCCAAGTGGAGAGTGCAGGAGGGTGGTGGCTGTGAGCAGGGCACACGCAGCCATGGGCACAAGCAGATGTGGGACACACACACAGTCAGTCCTCCGGGGACACAGCCATGGGACACAGGTGAACAAGGGGCACGGGCAGACGAGGGACACAGGCAGACACAGGACACGGGCGGACACGGGACACGGGCGGACACGGGACACGGGCAGACACGGGACATAGGCAGACAAGGGGCACGGGCAGACGAGGGACACAGGACAGACACAGGACACGGGCAGGGAAGGGACACGGGCAGACACGGCACAGGCAGCCAGGGACACAGACACGGGGCACGGGCAGGCAAGGGGCACGGGCAGACAAGGGACACGGGCAGACGAGGGACACGGGCAGCCGTGGCACAGGCAGCCCCTGCTCCCACGCACCCAGCGGGCACTCTCAGCCCCGCTCGCTCCCCCGCAGCTCCGGCAGCGCCGCCCGGTGCTGGCGGGGCCCCGGGGCGCCATTGGCCGCGGTGGCGGTGGGCGGGGAGCGGCGGCGGGCCCGGCCCTGGAGCGGAGCGGAGCCGCTCGGCGCGGCCCGCGGGAGCGCTGGCCGGGGCTGGCCGGCAGGTAATGGGCGAGCGGGGTTCGGTGTGGGGCGGAGGGGACAGCCGGGGATTTTACACCGCCGGGATGGAGCGGGGGGACAGGACGGGTCTGGCGGCTCCGCTCCGTCCGCCGTGGGACAGAGCGGCGGGGTGGGGGGGCTGTGTGTGCCGCCGGGGCTCGGCCTGCGGAGTGTTCTGCCCGTCTCGGGGGTTGTGCTGCCCGTCCCGGGGGTTGTGCTGCCCGTCCCGGGGGTTGTGCTGCCCGTCCCGCGGGGTGTACTCCCCGTCCCGGGGGTTGTTCTGCCCGTCCCGGGGGTTGTGCTGCCCGTCTCGGGGTTTGTGCTGCCCGTCCCAGGGGCCCGAGGGTTGTGCTGCCCGTCCCGGGGAGTGTGGTGCCCGTCCCGGGGTCCCGGGGTTTGTGCTGCCCGTCCCGGGGTTTGTGCTGCCCGTCCCGCGGGGTGTACTCCCCGTCCCGGGGTCCCGCGGTGTGCGCTGCCGGTCTGGGTGTCCCGTCCCGTCCCGCGGTGTCTGTGCGCGGCCCGAGTTACCAACTTTGCCCGTGTACCAAAAGCCCGGACGCTGCTCCCGCTGCGGAGCTGTAAGCGGGACCCCGCTTGGTTCGTGCTCCTGTTCCAGAGGGCCACGTGCGCTCCCAGGCGCTGTGGGGACAGGGAATTGTCGCTTCCCTCGGTGGTTCCCCCTCGGCAGCCAGCCCGTGTGTGTCCTTGGTCAAGGGTCCGGTGGCAGCGGGGCGGGAGGTGCGGGCGGAGAGCCTCGGGATGAGTGCAGGGACAGGGAGCGGGGGGACCGAGGGGTAAGGCTCTGCCCTGACTTTCATGTTCTCCTTCCTTCCCTTCCTCCGCTGCTTGGGCGCCTCTGAGCCTGGCTGGCACTCGTGGCAAGAGCCACAGCTGAGCTCAGGCTGCCGCTGTGAGCAGCGGTGCCGAGAAGCTGGGTAGCTCAGTCAGTCCATGTCCCATTGGGACTGGTGACATTCTTAAAGGGCTGATGTGATAGCTAGTCCCAAAATGTACGTGCGCTGCCTTGGGTTCTTCATAAGCATGGCAGGAAGGGGGTTACCAGAGCCTGCCCTCCTTACCCCAGCAGTTACAGCATGCCGGGAAAGAGGGAAGCGAGCTGAAATGCCCTCAGGCAGGAAAAGGACTTTGTTCTTGCTCTAAATGCCTGCTCAGGCTGCTGTGCCCTACTTGCTGTCCTTGGTGAGCAAGAGTTTATGCCAGCCCTAACTCCAGGAGAGATTTCTCAGAGCAGAGCAGAAAGAGGGAGTGAAGGAAAGCTGCAGAGAGATGAAGCTCGGGGCATTTTCTGCTGGCAGCCCTCAGCAGTCAGATCTGGGTGTCATGGACCATCCCATGCATGGTATGCATGAGGTATGCAGTGGATAGCAAGGCTGTCAGTTCCGCCTGATGGCAGGAATGGAAGGATCAGGTAGAACAGCTTCTACATCAGTACACCTAAGCCTTAGATACATACAGACTTGAAAAACATACCCCAGGCTTGCTGACCCGTGAGCTTAAGTTGAAATGCTGTGCCTGGCAGGCATCAGCATGGCTGTTTATAATCACAAGTGAACAAGCACTCATTGTTAACTGTCGTGGCGTGCTTACTTCTGGAGTGGAGTGCCAAGCTGTATTTTTTTTCCTTTGAACATCAGTCATATTCACTGTATAGTATTTGATCACATGTAGAACCAGCAGGTTTGATGAAAAAAACAACCCCAGAATTCGCCTTGCTAAAAACTTCTTTGTGCTGTGAAAAGCAGCACACCAGAAAAACACATCTTACCATCCTAATTTCAGCTGGGTAAGCTGCTGCCGCTGCATGGGCATATGTAGCACTTGGTAATAAGCACTGTGACCCTGCTAACCTGACACTGCAAACTTGAGCAAACAGGAAAAAAACGTTTACCAAAATGAATACAATAGATGAGACTTCACATCTTCACTTTGTTCCAAAGGGAGAGGCTCTCATCTCCCAGGAAAGGAGACTGTAGTGACACTCAGCAGTATCTTTATTTACCAGAGTCACAAAGTGCTTGCATTCCAAAGCCAAACTGTGGATTACTTGCAGTGAGTCACAGTATTAACATGAAATTGGGTTTTATGTGGTCAGTCGAGCTGAGTGCTGTGTGGAACCCAGGGCAGGATCTGGCCTATGGTGGGATGTGATGAGTCAGCACCTCACATGGCTGTTTGTCCCCTCTACCTGAACAGGGAGCACACAGAGGGATAGCATGAGTTGTCCAAGTCTGAAGGTAGGCACTGTAAGTCCCACTCTTACTTTTTTTTCATCTTTTTTTTTAAACTTTTTATTATGTGTAGGTGCTGTTCTCCAGTCACTTATGCCTGAGGGGGGGAGAGAGATGGAAGGGAAACATTCTGCTTTTGCATCCCAGGAAAACTTCTTCAAGAAATACCCTGGGCTAGAGCAGTAATTTAGCTGTCTCTGCTAAGACTAACAATTTTAGTCTTAGCAGAGAAGATTTTCCCACGACAGAGCTGGCTTTTCTTAGGTTAACTCGTGGTATTTTAACTAGGTAGCAGACCAGAGGGTGGAGGAGTAAGGACATACCTGCAGGTAGAAGTCTGATGTGTAATAAGAGCTCACTTTCAGGTTTTTTTCACATAACAGGATTGTGCCAGCCCCTTCTCCTTTTGCTCCATGTAGTAAGTCCCAGAGCTTTCTGGTCCTTTCTGCAGGGACCCAGCTCAATGCAACAGCTAAAGCTTTCACAGCAGCAGAGCTTATACTCCCCTGAAAATGAGCTCGGCTTTCCTGGCTCTGTGCAGGCAAGGTGTTTACATCTGGCAAAATATTTTAGTTTCCACTGGAATCTGGTGTGCAGAGATCCCTAGAAATAGAGTCACGTCAAGTACCATAAGTTCTTGAGAGCTTGGGCCATGCTTCTAAACTACATAAAATAAAAGTAAAAGAGGTAGGCTAAGAGCTCCATAACCCAGAAGCATGAGGAAAGGAAACTGGTAGGACTGCTTTGGTTTATCCTATTTGGTGTTGCTGGTGCCAAAAGTTCTTGACAGTATATTACTGCACTCACAGTCTTTGCACACCAAGGATCCCAAGCTATAATTTAAGTTTTTCCCTTATTATTTGTGTGTCCATCTTGCTCTTCCACACAGAAACTCCTCATCCAGGGATTTGTGGAGAGACCACATCCCAGGATAAGTGAGAGTCTGGGTAACCCTGCTCAGGGAGTTTGGTGCACAATTGTGGACAGCAGTTTGCCCTGCCTGTTTGTTCTTCACCTAATTTGTGTATTTAAGATGGAGAGGGTGAAAACACACGGTGCTAATTGCAGCAGGGCATCTCCTCTCCTTGCACAGATCCACGTGGGGAATGGAGGCTCTCTCCTCTCTGATCACAGGTAACAGATCTTTGCCCAGCTGCTGCATGTCTGTGCCATGGCAGGTTGGTTGGGGTGTGATTTCAGCCCCTGGAATTCCCCCTCTGGCTGCAGCCTGGCCAGAGCAGTCAGTAAATGTAAACTGCCCATTCACATGAGTGGATGTGCCCAACAGTGCCTAGCTCCATCCAGTGCATTCCAGTGCTTTGGGGCTCTGAGGATACAAATCCTTCCTCCAGCTCCAGGGAGACCCTGAGGAAAGCTCTTCAGGAGCACTCACCACTCAGTGCCTCTCAGTGAAAGCTATTTCTGCAGGGTAGGTCACTTCATTTAGGTCTCCCATGGCTAAACCTGCGTCTTGGTCTTGTGACTTTTCACTCCAGAGAAGGAAATCCTGAGAACTCAGAGGGATTGCCTGGTCTGTCTGCCACATGGGTCAGGTGAGAGGTACACGGTGTGCACAGCCTTCAGCAGCTGCTCTGTGGTTTCCCTTCCAGCACAGCAAAGGGGTGATTGGGCTGAGGGGCAGGGGTAGAATGTCCCACACACACAGGGACATTCAGACATGTTGTCATCCTCCTCTGCCCCTTCCCTCCAGCTCTTGGCAGCAGGGACTCTGGGCAGGGAGCACAGGGATGGCAGTGGAGAGCAGCTCTGCACGAGTGGTTTGATGAGCCATTAGCAATAGCAGGGTGAGGACACATGCCCCTGTGATCTCGGAGTGCCTCGTGATGGCTGAGCTACCTCGCTGCAGGAGGAAATGACTCACATTCCCATGGCCAGCTGGCCTTGGGGCAGCACCCTCCAGCCTGCAAGGGGCAACCAAAAAATCGACTTACAGGGAGTGCCTTCCTTACTGCAGACTGCCAAGAGCAAGCAGCTGCTTTCACTGCAGAGTTAACCTTACCTGGGTTTCCTGTTAGAGCAAAAATACAGCACACTATCAAACCCCAGATTGTGTGAGAAGGAGGGTGCAGAGGTGTGGGAGAGATGAGTGTGCTGCATTCCACTTCCCCTTCAGCACAGTTCACACTGTTGTCAGAATGATGTGTCTTGAATTTGGAAGCACCATCAGTCCTGGGATAATGGAGGAAAGGCTTAGCTTGTGTGGGTTTATTCACATCATGGGGGCTTTTTTAATTTATTTTTTTAACCATTTTTGTCATGCATGGAAGACCAGCAGGAACAAATGAAACCACAGAGTTTTCTTTTGTTCCTGCCTCAGCTCTGGCTGAGGAGCTGTGGAGGGGGATGTGTCTATAAGCAATCCTTGAGAAAGCAGGTGTGCAGTCAGAAACGGGAGGCTTGCTCTCAAGACCCTTTTATGCAGATCTCTGGATCTGCATAAAATCAGGTACAGACCAAGCAGCTTTCTTTTCTAAGGGTACACAGGGAGACTGGTAAAAAGCACAATGAGGAAGATCTGGCTCTGCCTTCAGGGGCTTTCTATTGCTGCAAATTGAGCCATCCCAATATAGCCTGGGCTGTTGCAAAATGAGGTCAGAAAGTTTGAAGATTTTTATTTAGAAAGGTAACAAACTAAAGCAAGGGGTGCTCAGGAGATTACCCGTACCCTCAGATGCATTAGGAGCATCTCACCTGTGCATACACTGGCTACTCGCCTTCCCCCAGGTGCAGATGTTTGCAGTTTCACCACTTCCCTCTTTGTGTTCCTCTCCTCAGAGCGAGCTGGAGATGGTGGACCACCTTGCAAACACGGAGATCAACAGCCAGCGCATTGCTGCTGTGGAAAACTGCTTTGGGGCTTCTGGCCAGCCCTTGGCCTTGCCGGGCAGGGTCCTTCTGGGAGAAGGGATTTTAACCAAAGAATGCCGCAAGAAACCAAAGCCTCGCATATTTTTCCTTTTCAACGACATCCTCGTCTACGGCAGCATAATCATCAACAAAAGGAAGTACAACTCCCAGCACATCATCCCCCTCGAAGATGTCACTTTGGAGACGCTGCCAGACACCTTGCAGATGAAGAACCGTTGGATGATTAAAACCTCCAAGAAGTCCTTTGTGGTGTCTGCAGCCTCGCTCACGGAGAGGAAGGAGTGGATCAGCCATCTGGAGGAGTGCATCAAGCACCTGCTGACCAAGACGGGCCGGCAGCCGTGCAGGGAGCACGCGGCTCCCTGGATCCCGGACAAGGCCACGGACATCTGCATGCGCTGCACGCACACCAAGTTCTCCACGCTCACCCGCAGGCACCACTGCCGCAAGTGCGGCTTCGTCGTGTGCGCAGACTGCTCCAGGCACCGGTTCCTGATGCCCCGGCTGTCCCCCAAGCCCCTGAGGGTCTGCAACCTGTGCTACAGGCAGCTGCTGGCAGACGAGAAGAAGGAGGCGGAGGCGGAGCGGAGGCAGGCGGAGCCGATCCGCTCCGCCATCCAGGGCTACGAGCCCTCCAGCGGTGATGACAGCGACAAGTCTGACGATGACAAAGCTGAGCACTGGCCGGCAGACACGGAGTTTTATACCTCAGAAGTATCCTGGTCGTCTTTCCACAGCTGACCTGCCTGGGGGCTGGTGGTGTTCAGGCACTGGGAAGCCAACCTCTGGCCTCCAATGCGTGTCCTTCTCGATGCTTTCCCTGAAGGCCATGCCTAGGAAGGTGGATCTTGGCCCCTGTGTGTGGTGTCAGAGCAGAGGTGAGGTTACCCCTCTGAGAACATCTCATATGATGTGAGCACAGAGAGTTCAGCTCAGTGAAGAGCACTGAGGACTGGGACAGCACCCTGTAGATCAGTCTTGGCCAAATGAGCTCACCTTCGGTGCCTTATTCTTCCTCTCTGCTAAAACACAGCAATGTGAACTTCTTGTTTGAAATGTTTTGAGATTGGCTCTTGGGAGAAAAAGGAGCAAGAAATCCCAGAGTTGAACACATTTGCCTGCTCACAGTGTGTTCCTCTGTCAGGGCAAGGGCCACTCTGGATGCCACTTTCCATGAGCAGTCTGAGATTCTCACTGCAAGCATGCCAGCCTGAGGGAACTGTGCTCATCCCTGCACGGTGGGGCCAGCACTGGCTCCTGTCTTCATCTGCATCTCTCAAGGTTGGAAACACTAAGAGAATGGTACTTGGAGTGCAGGGAGCTTGTGGGAGGCTCATTGTGAGCAGCCCTAGCAAAGCACTGGAGCATCCTGCTCTCCCACATGGAAAGAGGCCATGCCAGTGGTACGGGGCCAGGAGGGGAAAGGAGAGGGGGAAAAAGAGACAGGGAAAATTACACTGAGCAGTGAAACACAGAGGGAGGGAGGTACTGCAGTTCACTCCATTAAGTGCAGAGCCCAGATCTCAAACACAGGTAGTTATACCAGATTACTAGAAACTTGAAAAACTCAAGCCTGTCAGGTAAAAGGACTGCCCAGGGAAGACTTGTTAAAAGTCTTTAAAAATCCAGAAAAAAGCCCCAAATGAAGATCCTGTGAAGTACAGTACTTCAACTTCCCCTTCCCTCGTGGGCTGCTGCCCAAGGCATCGGATTCTCACTTGTGGGCTCACCTCCTGCCTTATCAGTCCCACGAGTCCAAAGTTAAGGTCCTTTATGTACTTCAAGGATGGGAGTCAAAGACTTTATAGTTTACTTGAGATCAACTTTAAAGTTCAAATTCAGTTAGAAATAAACTGTGTTTATTCAAGTATTCTATCATAATGTAGCCCGGGAGTAAATATAGAGGAAATCAGACAACAGCAATTGTTTTGCAGCAGATATTTCTACAAACTCCGTTATTACTTTTAGTATATTTTTGTATTGTGTATTTTGTGGTCTGGAAAAGAAACATGGCTGGGAATACACTGCCAATGTTCTAAAATGTTTCCTTACCATGACCTATTACAAGCCGTGCATTGCTTTACAGATGGCCATGTGTTTTTTTTAAATTTCAGTTCAAGATAATTATTCTTACTGTATTTATAAACTGCTACTGTTCCAATGAATTTGTATCATTTGACTGTGTGTGAATAAAGATATGGCCAACAGGAAGGAGCCAGGAAAACAGGACAATAAAGCATGTTATTATTGAACAAGAGTCTGCACAAGAGCTGGGATCCAGGCCTGGCCAGCCCAGCACAAGTTGTGGCTCCTCAGCTGTGGGGAGAATGCTCTGGTTTCTATTTACTGCTCGAAGGTAAGGGCATCAAATCTGGTGCTTCCTTTCTATTTATACCATGGTGTTGTCTGACAGACTTTTCCCAAGTCCCCTGCAGTCCCCTGCAGTAGTCTGTGTTCATTGGAACGGTGTTTTTCCGGTGGGGACACAGCTCAGAGTGGGCCAACAAACCTTATGACCTAAGCAGATGTTTTTAGGCTTTAAAGCAATAAGTACACTGAGTTCTGTTTTTTCCATCCCTCTCCAGGCTTAGTTCCTAACTGCACAGCAGTGATTGTTTTTACAATGCCTCCCACCCACCAGAAGGGTGTACATGCTATGCAAACAGAAAATGACCTTAAAAATAAACAGCCATTAGAGTGGTTCACAAGCCAAAAATAGCCCAGCTGCTGAATCTGCATCCAATCAGAAATGTATGGCAGTTTTGAACCTAATCCTTAGTTCTATTAGAGATCAGCTTACTTCGTATGTTCAAAGGTCTTACTGTTGCCAGCTCAAAAGACCTGTGAACTGCTTTTATGCTGTAATGAGGGACAGGCACGACTCTAAAGAATGTCTTCTTGGTGAGCAAGAACGTTTCTTAATCACAGCAGGGGAAAAAAAAAAAATCAGAAAAAGCCAAACAAACCACCAAAAACAACCCAGCCCCTTTTTTCGGTGCACGCTGCTGATGGTTTCTGGGGCCATCACGCTTTCCACCAACTGGAAGCCCCAAGAAACCAAGAAGTTCTTAAACTTTTAATACCTATGTAAAAGGATCCTGCCAAGGAAAACATGGGGAAATTCAAACAAAGCCTCTCCCCCACTTCCTGAAGTTCTGTTGTGGAGCTCAGCACTGGGATTAGAGCCTGGGGCTCCTGGCTTCTGGCCTGCTGAACACATGGGTTTTAAATCACAGGCTGTGTGCTGTTACAGTCCAGCCTGGAGTTTTCCAGCCTGATTCTATCTCCAGTGCAGTAATAGGGCATTTCCTGATGGTTTGTGCTCTTTTCTATTTTAGTTGAATAAAGGCCTTAGCAGAAATTCATTCCAGTTTGCAGCCCCACGTGGCCAGGAAGAGCAGCAGCCTCAATGCTCACCTTGGGAAACATCTGCAGGCTGGAGGGGTTTTGGGGTCACAGCATCCTCCTGAAGGGCTCCCGGTCATGAAGTATGGAGATCATTTGCCAAAAGAGCTTCCTTGCCTCTTGTGACCCCTGCCTGAAGGTGTCACAGCCCAAAGGGCACAGCAGGGTGAAGGTGTCCCCATTGCACACCAAAGTTGGTTAGAAGGGGAGGAAGAGGATGGCACTGGTGCAGCAGCCAGTCATGAAAGCTTAAGAGAAGGTAATGGGGAGATTTGCTCTGCAGATAAACCGAGAGGATCAAAAAGGTTCACGAAAAGCTGTGTGTTCTGCTGTGCCAAGGCACGGCTCAGGCACACACCAGCTCCCAGCACGGTGCTGACTCAGCACTCACAAGCATCATGAGGGAGGAGTGAGCCAGCTGCTCCAACCGAGTCTTGCTCACAGTTACTCACTCAGTTTCTATCCAAGCTCGATTTCTGGCTCTGCCACAGGTCACAGCCTCTTCCAACTCACCACTGCTGCAAGGCAGTTTCTCATGTTCCTCACAGCCTGGATTTTTGATCTGGAGGAGGAACTGAGGCATACACACAGTCCCAGCTGCTCCTGAGCTGTAAAAGTGATGTCTTCAATGAAAAGTACAAGCTTCTGTTTCTCACTCTTTCTGCTCCAGGCCATGGACCTTTAAGAATGGTGCTGGCAGGAAGGAGATGTTGCACTGCTGTCCTATCCATGGTGGACACAAAACAGCTGTAGAAAACCCTTGCCCCAGACCTGCTTGCTGGAGATGGTGTCCAGGGCAGCCAGAGAGGAGCACAGGCTGCACACCAGGGTGTAAAGCACTGCAGGGGCAATACCCAGCCAGCTCTGCTTTATGTTCCATGTCCCAGGCAGGAACAGCCCCAGTGCCATGCAGGTGTATGGGAGGGAGCCTCTCCTGCCTCTGACCTTGTTCATAAAACCTCCAAACACAGCCAGGGCTGCAGTCCTGTGCTGCAGGTGGAGGAGAGGAGGCAGGCAGGGAAGTGGTGTGAGGTGCTGGTGAACCCTGAGCAGCACCCAAGCTGGCATTTGACTTCAATTCCAGTAAGGGCTGGAAAAACAAAGCAGCAATGAGCAGGTTTGCTGTAAATCTCTTATGGAGGGGTTCACAGCCCAGAGCGAGGTACACAACCTCCCCAGTCTGTTACTGTAGGAAGGGGAGAGAAAAAGGAGGAGGGCATCTAGATAAAAGGTTTTACTTTCTCCAAGCTCTATTGTGCAGCACCTTCTGTTGCACACAGCCTGGGGCAGAGCATCTGCTGCCAGCAGCCATCCTGCTACCTGACTGCTACCTGCCCAGACTGCCCCGTGCAGCAAGGGATTGCTGAGCTTTGGCCAAGCTCTCCTTTTTTTAAATCATAAACACAGTGTGTTTTGGTGACAACCTATGGGAAAATGGATTTGAGAAGGAAAAAACATTAACTCAAGGCCAGACAGGCCTCTTTCCCTCTAACAGCAACAAGAAAAAACCTCACGCTATTTACAGGAGGAGTTACACATAAGGTAAAATCAGAGCCTTACTGGCTTCATATAAAAAGGCTTTCCAGAGTGCTTTCAGGAGTGCCCCTCCTTAGATGTCTCAGACAGCTCCAAAAGTGGGGTGAGAACCAGAACCAACCCACAAACCAGAGCCACCAGCACCCAGGTCACAGCTTCCTGGCTTGTGACAGAGCCTCTGACTTGATGAGTGCTCAGCAGCAAGTTCCAGGCCAACTAACCTGAGTCTCTAGATCCTCCCCAAAATGTCCTTGAGCCCACCTGTTTGGTGTTTGAGCAGCCTCTGAGAGCCAGGTGGGGCTCACAGCCCAGAATCTTTCATGTGCCACCGCAGGATCTGCACACCCTGAGAGCCAGCCCTGCTGCCCAGGCACCCAGTGCCGGCCTCTGGGGCTGGGCTCACAGCATCCTCCCCTGCTCAGCTCCGGGGACAGCAGGGCAGGGCTGGCTCCTCCCTGGGGACAGGCTGCTCCTGACTGGCCTGGCAGGATCCAGCTGCTCTCCCTGCCACACTCCGAACCACAGCTGGCCGCAGAGCCCGGGGAGCAGAGATGCTGTGCACTAACCCTGCTGGGGCTCTGCAGCACAGCTTTCTGCTGGGGCTCCAGCAGGGCACATGCCTTCCCCAGCTCAGCAGAGACAGCCTGGTGTCAGCACATCCGTCCCGCAGGGTGTGAGCTGCAGCTGCATTTGTTCATTCAGCAGCGCCAGGCTGGAGGCACACACAGCCCCCGCGGGCTGAGCGAGCCCCTCTGCCTGTGCTGGGTCCCACAGGCACTCGGGGTGTCACACACTGCAGCCATCTGTCTGCAAGGAAACAGCTTTAATGATGAGAGATTCTACAAAATCCACTGGCAAAGAGCTGTTAATCTGGGGAGGATGACAAATGGAGATTGTCACACTCGGCTACTTCAGGACTTAGCAGTGCTGCTGCTGCTCCCCATAGCACAGCAGTGGAGGTTGTTACTTCCTTAAAAAGGGGATCTGGAATGCAGCTGGTGTAGCCCTGCAGCAGGGACAGCCCTTACAGCACACCCTGGAGCCTAAGGACAGCCCCTGGAGCAGCAGAGCTGCAGGCACTCAGCAATCAGGAGGTGAGCTGGGCTCACACCAGCTGACATCCTCCCTCCCTCCTCAGGGATGCTCAACAGCCAAAGCCCAGCCACGGCTGTGGCACTGAAGGGATCCAAAAGGATGAGTTTGTTGGTTGAGACCTTACAAGTTAGAGCTCCACAGAGCTTCCCCCCATTTCAGCACCCTCACCCTTCAGGACAACCATCTGGGCAGTGCATGAGGAATGGGGGAGCCCTCAGCAATGGAAATGCTGCTCCCCTTGGGAAATGGGGGAGGGGTCCTGTGCTGGAAGCTGGCAGAGCTTGGTCATTGCCCAAGCAGCACAGCACCCTGGACACACACTTTGACAGGCTGCTCCAGAGCAGATGTGTTTTAACAGCTCTCTGGAGGCTCATCACGTCCCATACAGCTCTGCCTCCCACTCAGAGCACTGGAACTTTCTCCTCCTGCTCATCCTCCCCACCAGAATTTGCCTCTGGAGTCTGGATTTTCCTGGGGCCAGCCCATCCAGCTACACTGTGATGAGGCTGCAGCGTGCAGGGCCTCCCTCCCAGCTGTACCAGCCCTGCACAACAGGCACCTCTGTGAGCTGCAGAGTTCCTAACTGCAGGTTTAGGAATGACAGCAAGACAGGGGAAGATAAGGACGTTTTAAAATGTATATTAAAAAAAAATATATATAGAGAGAGAGCCTGAAAAACAAAGCAATAGCATGATCATATCTTAATACAACTTCCACTTTAAAAGGGTGTGAATAAAGATTTCCCCCTTTAAAAATATGGCCTAGGGCTTTGGGTTCTGGTGGCTTAAAGACAATTTTTTCTGTGGTTCAAGTAATAAAGGCATTTGGTTTAATTTTTAAGTTGATATTGCAATTTTGAAATCATGAAGTAACTGAGGGACGAGGAGAGGTCAGGCCCTCTGCTTAATCACTTGTTTGTACATGGGAAAGCAGTGAGAGAGGAAGGCTCCACTCCTGAGCAGAATAAAGGACACAAAGGCAAATGGGCAGGTCTTCTCTAGCACAGGAAACCCCTTTTGTACAACACAAAAAATGCCACGCTTTTTTCAGAATGAGATTGCTTTGGCAGTTCTTATGCTGTATTTTACTCACAGTAGCATGTGTGTTGGCACAACACTGCAGGAATTGGGAGAACATGAAAGCAGCCTTACTAACCCAGAGCCGGAGTTCACCTATCCCAAAATCATGAGGGACA